AAATTAATAACTAAATAAGAATAATATATATATATATATATATATATATATATATATATGTATATAATCTATATATATATATACTTATGTAAGCATATATAATATATTCATAGAACATTTTTGAAAAATCGATTCTAGAAGTGAAAATAAATGTAAAAATTGATATATCATTGCTATTGCATTTTATTTTTGTCTCGTTTCATCTAATGCTAACTTAAATTGCTTATAATTTAATAAATAAGCCTTGATCGATTTTTATATAACAACTTTTGTATTTGTTTTAATTTTTACAGTCGATATTCAAAAATGTCTTATGAATATTGATATTTATTAATATATATATTAATATTTTATATATATAATAATAATATATCTAGTAAAATCTTTGTATTTAATATGTATTTTGAAATTCATACTTAATAGGTTGAGATATGAAATACGTAAAAGAAAATACTTAGATGTTTTATCGATACATTCATTAATCAACTAAAAAAAAAAAAAAAAAAAGAATTAAATCATGATGAATGAAAAGAAATGAATTAGAAGAAATAGGAATGAATAGAATGCATTTGAAAAATCAAAAGTCATCAAGTTGATGGAATTCGATTTGACAATTGGTTTCAGAAGAATTTGTCGAATGAAGATAACTACCAACTATAAAATTGTAATACAATTGTCATATATATAGATTTTATTTATTTGGCAAACGGATTTGAAATTCCCGCCAAAGTAAACGTGACGCAAAATTGCATAGCAAGACATATGGACCAAAGTGGGGGAGAAAGCGAGGCCCAGTATAAAACAAACTTTATTTAGTCAAGGACGAGAATGTCAGGATGGACAAAGAAACCTGGAGGTTAGTGACATAATTTATTTTCGTGTGAATATGTTGTAGTGAATATAGAGATATAGTATATGCATGCAAGAAACAAGAGACACCGGCGGCACCAGTGTTAAAACCAACGAGGATAAACGAGTGTCATAATTAAGAACGTTCTAGCGAAAAGCGCGAGCGTTCACAACACTTCGAGGCACTCGTCGCTTTATCGTCGCTCCGTATACGCTTGAAGTGGGGATATTGCGTGTGCACGTGTGCACAGCGCTGCACATATACGACGTGCACAGTACCCACACGCGATCTCGTCATTTTGCTCGCGCGAGCCTCTCGGCTTTGCTCCCGGAAATTGCACGGCGTGAATTTAGTGCCTTGCCCTTCGACGGCTTGACTGAGTACACTTTCCGCCGTGGCGGCCTGTAGACGACAGGCTCGCTTATATATACCATATCTGTGTGTATATACCGTATTTAGGTTATACGGGGTGTTCTACAAAGTAATAAGGGGAACGAGAAACTCGAGAGCGAAAGTAAGATGGCCATTAACGCTTTCGCGTTGAACTTTGTCTAATGAACACTCGAGTGCTTCCGTGGCGAGATTTGAACGCGCTGGTGCCACCGTTTAAATGCTTGCAATGTACGCTACTGGAGCGCGCATGCGCGTGCCGCGTTGCTTTTACGCGTCGAGTGGCGTTGAAAGAGTTAAGGAAGTTAAAGTCGTTAAAGAAGCACTGCTGCAAATGTGACTGCGAAAATTATTAAGAAATTTTTCTATTAAAGTGACATGTCTATTACAATATTGTTATTTTTACAGTGAAATATAAAGAGACATCAATTTGTTTAACCATTTTTTGAGATTATAATAAATCGCGAAACTTCGTGGGAGAATTATTGCGTTATAACGTAAATGTCGACCTTGAACGTTTCGCCAAAGTCTTGAATAAGCATCTATTTATATTAATTTCACAATAAAATAAATCTTTGCCGATAAGAATATCAAAAAATATAATATGTACTTACGTATTCTCAATGATGTTTTACGTTGTCAAGAGATCGTAGATTTAAATTAAATGATTTTGTCTTTATATTTATGTCTACACGAAGCCATGTTTAATGTATGAATTAGCGTAGAAAGCAACGGATAGAATACAAATGACTCTTTTTAAAGAACTACAAATGATTGAAAAATTTTAACATTGCGCACTGCACTTTGAGTGATAGATTAATGTTGACGCGTAATTTTTTATTGTTGTATGATCATTAACTTCAATCATAAAAAAATTAAATATTATGTTTACACAAGATATTTTGCGTTAAAATAATATGACAGATTAGTAGACAAATATCATAAACATTTATGAAAAATTATTTTAATATCAAATTGAATATGATTTATTTTAAAATGTCAAGTTTCTATATATATCTACAATTATATAGATATCATCACAAATTATAATTACAATATATTTTATATATAATTTATTAATTATATAACATAACTTATTATTATTTATAGTACTATTTATACTATTCGTTATTAGATTTCTATTAATAGTTTTTATTAAAACTGCTTTCATCAAGAAATAATAATTGGAATAATCTAAACAACTTTAACGTGCCAATAACTTTAATGATTTTAATATAATATATATTAATAATATATATTAATGTTATAATATAACATTCTTTGGAATTCATCTTCTAGTTTTTAAAATATTTCATTCTTATGTTTTTTTAACTTTTAGAGTATCTATATTGGGTAGAATCTTAACAAAAATTTTATATAATATATATTTCATACATATATATATATAGAGACTGCCCCATAGAATTGTTAATATTTTCTAAGGTTAAAAATAAAAAAAATTTAAATTAAAATTAAACTATATTTAATGAAGAATAATCTGGATATAATTTTACTATAGTTTTATATATGCAATTCTTTTTTTTAAATGGAATCTTAAAAATCTTAATCTAACAAAATAATTTTTTAATTTTTACAAAAAAGTATTCATCTATTTTTACTCTAAATTTATTGATTATTGCAGTTAAAAAATTGCTAAATTATAATGTACAGATATTACTTATGTTATTGCAAATAACTATTTTTGCAGTCTAAATATTTTTTCATATGATACATATATCAAATCAATTCATGTTCATATATTATAATGCATTATATCATAAACATAAGTATATTTGCAAATATACTCAAATAATTTAGAAAACTTTTAATAATAATTTCTCAACCAATAGATTTAGAGTAAAAATGAATATTGTATATATGTATCTCTTATATGTATATATATATATTTTTAAATAAATTTATTAATCTATCATAATGTATATATAATGTGATGTCGCATGTGATCAATCTTTTAAAGATAAATTATCCTAATGTAAAAATATTTATTCACTTTAATTCAATTGTCTCTAAATTGTCCTTGTAAGTACTATAATATAAGAAACGCATCTTGAAAGACTCAATCGCTAAGAATGCAAACAGTCATTTGAATAACCTTCTAATACAATTACATTAATCTATATCTATATCTATATCTAACAATTAACTTCCTGCATATGCTTACAATATCTTTATGATACAATGCACGCATCAAGTAAAGAAACTAATTAGAATCAATGACAAATAGATCCCATTCAAGGAATCATCTAGCGCAATATTGACATTGAATTAAAAGCAGCAACTGGTGACATAACTCGCGCTTGCGTTATCGCTTCGATCTCTTACAATCATTGAGATTTCGAGTGCGTTTCTACGTATGAATTTTCAGAACCGTGAACAGAAATGCAGTCCAGCCAATCCATACTTTTTCCTCGTGCTTAGCGAAGCGAAGTTTGATTTGACCGCGATGACATCGCTGACACCACATCACACTTTTTTTATTTGCCATCGCGTTTGCAACGAATCACTGAACATCACACTTGATACACGCCGAAAAAAAAAAAAAATAGAGAAGAGCGAAAAAAATCTGAGAGAAAATATAAAAAAAAAGAAACTGATGTGAAAACAAGAGAAACAGTGGATGGAATAAAAGAAAAGCCGGAAAACAATATACGAAATGATACGATACAATAATTCTGGTGCGACTATTCGAATTATGGCTATATTCGTGATTAAACTTCGTAACACAGAATCGATAGAATCGAATAATAATGATTCGAATTACTATCATGTTCGTTGGCCATTTTTTTTTTTCTTTTTTTTACAGAAACGCGTCCCGTCGTCCAGTTGGCGCCGAAATCATTGATTAAAGTCCGGCGCCGACCCATTTTTCCTCGTTTCTCTCTCTCTTCTTCCTCTTGGCCCCTATATATTTCTCTACCCTTGTTCCTCTCTTCTTGTCTCCTTCTTCTCTTTCTCTCTAGCCTTCGTCCTTGTCCATGCTTTTACCCCTTCTATTTTTGCAACCGAACACCACGCGCGTACGCGCCAACTTTTTGGCACGGAGATGTGACCGCGTTAGTACCGCCCCGATTGAGAATCACCGACACCACTTGGCTCCGACTGATCTATAAACCTGTGATGTCTCTGTGAAACACCGCCAGCTAGTCTGACGCGCGTTTCGGATATATCGCTTGTGATAAACCATGTTCATGGACGATATTGCAGTCCTCTTCTCTTTTCATCATTGTTCATTACTTGCTTTGAGATGATTGATATTGTTTTTTCTTTTTTAATGATGATTAGAATACAATATGGGATATTATGAACGTATCTTATATTTTCTTATGTTTAAGAATGAAGATTTTGGATATTCATAGATACTTTGAATTGTAAACAGGTATTGAAAAGAAAATAAGATTAAATGATATTTTTTTAGTAATTACATAATTATAATATATATTTTTATTAATTACAAAATATTTTCTAACTGGACTATTTTTGCAAGAAAATTATCTCTGACGATTGAACATAAAAAGAATTATAAAATTGTAAAAAAAAATTTTATTAAATTAAATTCTATTCTTTTTTATATTATTTCAATTTAATATAAAGATTTATAAAGAAGTTTACGATATGGTTTCATTCTTCTTTTTGTGAAATTAGAATTATAATCTGACGATTAATTCGATTCAATTATATATTTAATTGTAATAAATAAAAATTAAAATTATAATTTACAGATATCTATCTGTTAAGAGGATATCAACAGTCTTCGCAAAATGATAAGAAACAAGAGGATGGGATAACATCTGAAATTAGACCATCTTTGGAGGGTTCTAATGCCACGATACAATATACCAATAATCCTTACACGCAGCAACCACCGTACAATCCATTTTACAAATCGAACGAGAAAGTCATTGACGAAATAAAACTTATCGAGGAAGATGTTACAAAAAGAATTAACGAAATACAAAATGCACACTAGGTATGTAATGGAAATCAATGAATTGAATTTCCTATTACTAATACTATTTCCTATTCGAAATTTTATAACTTTAAAAATTTCTTGAATATTTAATATCCTTTGAATTTCTGTATGTTGTCCAAAAAATTCGAGGAATTCTCGAGGTTTTTGAGAAATATAGTAAATAAATTTTTAGTATTTTTACGATCTTTCAAAATTTTAAAGTCTTGACCGTAGACCTTTATATTTAAAAACTTTGGAATTATAAAATGATGATTCAAATTATGAAATCTGTAAAATTTATAGAATTTTTCGAATCTTTTCGTTATCTCTGTTGCCATCAGAAATTTTGTAATCTTCTAAAATATTTCATTTATTTAAATTTTTATTCATATTCAGATGAAATTTAATTTTACCAAATTTCTGATCATCAAAATCTTAGTATATAGCATTAGGAATTGCTTAATTCTCTAAAGTTCATACAAAATTTAATTAACATTATAATGTTAAAATGACATTTAATTTCGTTCATTAAGAATTATTTAATTTTCTAAAATTCAGACAGAATTTAATTAATATATATTAAAATGACATTTAATTTCGTATTTTTCAGGTAATTGTATAACATGTTGTATCTTCTTCGTTATTGCAATTATCATCATATTGGTCTTCCTTTTATATTTTGTCACAAAAAATCCAAAAATTGCGCAAATTTTATGTAATCTAGCAAATAAGACTAACAGTTTGCAGGAAAATTAAGAGAGATCTTGATGCAAACAATATCTAAGATATTGTCAAAAAATTGATCAATTCATCAACGAACTTAGAATTTGGTTATCAAATGAATATATCAAACAGAGTATAATTATTTGAAAATATATTGTAGTTAATAATATTATATTATAAATATTTATTGTGTTCTTTTTAATTAATATATTTTATCTAGCACATAAAAATGCTTAATGAATCTGAAGTTTTATGTCTCCGAATAAATAAATAAATTAAAATGTTCTTAGATTTTTTAAATTAGTATTTTCTTATTTTGTGTAAAGAGCAAAATATACATGGAACTTATAAAATATTGCAAAATATGAAGAAATAAAAAAATATTAAATAGGAGGATAGGATTTTTTAAGAAGCAAAAGTATTTTCCTTTCTTTATTTTTTTCATAAATATCCTGAAATAAATCGTAGTTTTGTTTAATACCGTTTTAACGTGAAATATTGGAACAAGAATAAGGCACAATAGAACGATACATTTTCAGAATAGTATCGATTCCGAATTTGTACCGCTACATTTAACAAGCACCATTGAGCCGAAGATGCATTGCACGGTGATGTATGGGATGCTTGATAAACAGTCTATTGAAATTGCTGTTTCTGAAAATACACGTGTTGTTCCTTTTTTTTTTTTTCTTTTGCAATTTAAACATCCACATTTTCTTTCCATCCATTTTTCCCTTCATAATCTCAAATATGTTTTCCTCCAACTTTCGAGAATTTTTCTGTTGACGAAATTCTGCGTGAATGTTAACTTGGTTTGATACATTTCGAACCACAAGATTGTAAAATGGATAAAACACAGCGTCATAGAAATGAAATCGTTTGGAATATTCGTATTGTTTCGATTTGAACGGACACATGATCGAGTTATACATATTTGATTTACGCGCGTTTACCAGATTTGTTGAAATTTGTCATCGATTCGTGAGATCGCGTACCAGGGCTGATGATAAAGGCTTAAATCGTGGTAAATCGATAAGATCGTTTCCGGTGTTGTTTCGTGCATTATCGCATAGGTATATTGTGTTTATGGGACAACGATCGAATTGAAATTTATCACGTCGATAAAAAATATTTTCGAACAAAAGGTACTAGTAACTGTACGCATTATTTATTTCGTTAAATAATAATTGCTGTGAATATATAAAAAGTCTCATTTAAATCGATCCATATATTTCGATGTAAAATTGTGATGTAAAATTTTTTTTATCGAGTTATTTTTATTGAATTATTGAGACATTTTTTTTATAATATTTAGAGATTTTTGCAATTTTCAATTGTCATTAATTTTTTTAGATCAATCAATTTAAATGAAACATCATATATGTATATCGAATTTGAAAATTTAAAAACAAGAAAAACCCCCTTCATATATGGATGCGGGACAAAATTTATTTCCAGCAACAAAATGAAAATACGACATGTAAATGCGGTAATATAATATTATGGAAAATACGAAGCGTTTATGTAATTTATTCGATAACGAAGTTCGAAATCGAAATTTATATTACGCTCGGGGAGATCCAGTTTCAATTGATTAACGTATCACATGAATTGTGCACGCTATTCATTATACAATTAACTCGTTACTTGATACGACCACAATGACTTGAAATAAAGACTGTAAAAGATATCATTTTGGGCAACTTTTCCCTTAACACGTAAGTAGTTAATTTTAGTTTTGGAGGTATTTCCAGAAAATTTATTGCAAGTTTGGATACTTCTTCAAAATATAAAAATATAAAACAATCCTTGGGCGAAAATTATAATATATATATTAGTTAATTTTTCGTTATTACAGAAGTTTCAAAAATTTATCAAAATTTTCATTCATAGAAGAAATTTAAAAGATAAAAACTTTGTATAGATAAATAATATTCCAATTATAATGGTTCAAAGAAACGAAAATTTAATTCATGTTCAAAAATCTTTAATCGTAAATTATTTATTACGAAGGAAAATTAAAAAAATTCATAATTTGTAAAAAAAATCTTCTCTACATGAAAACACATTATTATACATATATAAAAACTGAAAAATTCATACTAAAATGAATTAGAAAAGTTTCTAGATTAATATAAATTTTCTATAAAATTTTTTATAAATTTTCTACTAAATTAGAATATTATTAGATATCTCATATAGAATGTTCAATTTGAAAATTTTCAAATTGTTTTTTCCAATTTCATATAATTTTTAATTACGTTTATCAATTATCGCATTAATACTGGTCATGCAAAAAAGAGCGGAAGCAATTAATGTATTTAAATCGGAAGATCTATTCATGCGGAACTCGACTGTCATTTTACATTAAACTACAGAGTAAAGTACAATTCATAAAAACTCTATATCTCATTTAATAACGATTACGTTAAATATATGATAATATATGTATATCTCAATTATAACATCTCAAATTTTTCTCTGATTTTTCAAGACAATAAATTGTTTATCTACAACTATTAGAGTACCAATATAATACTTACAGGACCAATGCTACATTTGTACCGATGCTTTATAAATTTTTAACAGATATTTGAACACGTTTTTTATTACCGCAATCATTACAAAATCTCTATTTATCATCGTTTCATTAGTTTACGAAGAAACTAATCATAATATGTCATAAAAATTTTTCTTTCGAGTCTATTATAGTATCTATTGGATTAAATGTAATGTGTAAAAGAGATTCTTTCTCATTTTACATAGATGTGCCATTTTCCAAAAAATATACCAAAATTAGTAATAAGCGGCCCTTTTTTCCTTTACCGTATATTTCATCCAGCAATTCTCAATTATCTGAATGGATAATGCGACCGATAACCACAAGTAATAGACAACGTAATAGATTCAGCGAAATTGCTTGAAAATTCTTTATATCATCACGTGACGTCATGTCATCGCGGTACTGATGTAATAGAGAGTAGTAGAAAAGAAATTATTAGGATACTGCGATATTCAAATTATCGTTTTGGCAAACAACGTATTCTCTCTCTACTACTCTCCATACGTCAGTATTTTAGTGACGTCATCAACGTAGAAAATTCCCCAATAATTCTGGTTTAATAAAATTTCAAGACCACTTGTTTCACTATCTTCTTGCCTCTCCTAGTATTGTCTTTACTTAAAAAAGTAAGCTGAACAATTACATTAGAAACATTATTTCGACTGCCGAAATAACTATTAGTGTTTTCTGTAATTATATACACAATCTGTATGCAGCTTTACAATTCATAAATTACAAATTCGATCCATCGTTCGTGAATGTGTCTCCTGCCACAATTGTAAAATTAATTAATGAACGCAATGAAACAGTTAACACCGAACAATTTGGTCAGGCGATATTTTCGACGCATATCGCAGTTGAAAATCTTGCAATCAAGATATCCAATACAATGATTGATGCAATACGATCAGAAATGGTTTTCGATACATGTAATCGGAATATTGGTTGTCGAAAACCGACTAATCGTTTAAACCATTGTTTAAATTGCTTTTCGAAATACCATGGTTCGTTGAAAAACACAACAATCTTACGATAAAACGATTAAGCGACATTCAAATGATTGATGTTGAGAAATATTGGTATAGGTATATTTTATAACGAATATCGTCACTTATAACGAATTGAATTCGATAAAAGAACGATTTCCATGGACCATTATTTTCTAGCGTACAAATATATCAAATCCAATTCACTGTGTAATTCGCGGAGTTTTAATCTTGATTATTGATTTGTTTTTTAGGCATTTATATTTTATATCTTTAATCATTGTAATATGTTCAATTTGTATATTGAATTTATGAAAATTTAAATCCTTTAATGAATTTGTTATTTATTATTTATTTGAGAATCATACAATTAAATTTATATCTCTATCTAAGAAATAAATTTTTTTCAAATGAAGATATTTTTATTAATTTTTAAAATATAATATATTTATATATTTAATATTTAAGAACATATTTTAAATTAAATTTTTTACAATATATAAAATTACAACACGATATTTTTTCAAACTCTTCTTTGATTAAAGTTGGTTTACATTATGAAATAAAATCATTGTACATTACATTATATTTTTTATTAAATAATAGATTATTATTTGTTGATAGAAAGAACGATTAAAACTAAAAAATTGTTATAAAATTAAATATTTACTGCAATTTTATTGCTATTCTTAAAATGATTTAAAAAACATTAATTAAATAAGTTATATATTATTTAATTTATATATTATTATTATATTATATCCATCATTATATCTCAAGATTGCACACGAAGCAAGATAACCATTTTCAATGCTGGTACCTAACTTAACCCGCATGGAACAGAAAGTCACGTGTTTCTACGAAAGTGCTAAAAACGCCCGATGGAAGCGCTGGAGTCGTACTGTAACGATCATATTTCGTTGCAATAACGCAACGTCATATACACACAAGACTCGGAGAAGGGAGTAAGGTGGATGACGATATCGCTTGCTTTTATTATTGGAGCAATAAAACCCCCGTAACTGAGTAATAATTTAAGAGTTGAACGCCATCGAATCGGAGCACCTTTGGCGTCGCTAGACGCGTTGCCAATAAACGAGCCTGTGAATCTTTTCGCTTTGTGTAACGCGAGCTCCAGAGACTTTTTACGAGCTTCCAGGAAACGATTTAAAATCAAACGACGCTTGAACTTAAGCGTCGAATGCGAGTAAGTGATCGTTGTGACGTGTTTAACTTGTGCAATGATATTAACAATAGAGAAAGGTTTAATGAAATTGCAAAAAGGTTGAAATTGAAGAGTTATATCATAAGGAAAAATAAAAGTTTTGTTGTTCCAAAATTTTGATGTGCAATGAAGTAATTTATTGGCAAAGTTTAAAAGTTTATTAGAAGAGCGAAAGAAAACTATATATATTAATTATCAATGTCAACAATATGATATTTCACACTGTTCAAAAATCAAAGTTATCTTAATTAAAGAATAGCGAATGAATTTATATTAATATTCCTTTATAAATTCTGTTAAAGACTTTCTTATCAATATCTTTCATTCTTACAATTCATTCTTCTTCTTTTAATTTCTAAAACATTCAAATTTATTTAA